CTTTCACAGCAGCTTCACTGTGTGATTTAGCTTTGGTGAAAACGTCTGCTGTGATGTCAGATTCCTCTTCAACTCCTCTACCTTCTGTAGCTTCTGCTCTGCATCACGTTTTTCAGCTTGTCCTGATGTTTTGTCTCGTAGTGCCGTCTTAGGTTATAAGTGAATTTTTCACAAATCTGTGCAAACTATAAACTGTATATAAGCATACCCATGTGAGTAGATATTGTATGAAAAATAACACAATATACAGCTGCCAGTTTATTAGGTACACCCAGTTAAACTTAAAACAAGGTGTAAACTGGCATTTGAGTGAACATAATAATGTACTATAGATTTATTTCTCAATTACTTTTTAAGATTAAGCATTTTATTATTCAGCAATTGTCAAAAACTATGAAAACTTGTTTTGTCTGTCTAAAGCCTAAAGATATTCAGTTTACAGTGATTATAGAACATATATAAAAATAACAGAGGGTCTCTCACATTTGAACCAACAAATGTTTACGTTTCTTCTTGATAAATTCCTTAAACAATCCATTAAGAAATATTTTCTTTTCATTGATAAACGTTTTTCTGCACCATCCAGGATAATAAATGTGAAGTCTAATTTATTTGCATTTTATAGGTAGGATGTGGTAAATAAAGGTTCAGCTCTTGCCAGAAAACTTTAAATTTTACTTCCATTATATTTATTGTTTTTGAATCTGAACATATGGAAATCTGCAAACTCCCTTCCATCCCTGTGCATTTGGAAATAACTGACCTGAGACCGCTGTGTGGAAAGTTATTTCTTCTGTTTGTGCTGAGCAGACATTAGAAGAGAAACATGGAAAAACTATCAGCATGGAGAGGAGGAGGGACCCAGTGCCTTTCACTATGTACAGAGAGCAGTGAAATAAATACTGCTGCGGCTTCCTTTCGTGTTAAAAACAGCATTTGTACATGTATGTCAGAACTGGGAAATGTTGTGTCTTACATTTCAGACCTGTGTCTTTGTGGAGGACAATCACAATGTAGATCTGCAGAGCACAGATTTTCTGAACAGCGGTCTCTGTGCCTTGAGATAGTTTGGGCCATAGATGCAGGTGTGATACACACGGGGCTCCTCTAGATGCTGATGACTTCTCCAGCTGTTGGTGTAATTCATAAAGAGGCTGGGCTGAGAACAGGGGCTTTTTCACTTTGCTGCCTGTATGTTGTGTGAGGATGGCTCAGTGCTGAGAGCCCGACAGAGAGGTTAGTCCTGAATATGCGCCTCCTTCCTTTGCATCCCCTGTGACCTCATATTTCACCACATCTCCAGAATATATAAAATGGGAGAGTCACTGTGCTCTCTTACACTGAAACAATCCCCTCTACAAATAAGTCCAATATTTCATCAACACAAACAAACAAGAAACATGTATCAACTTGGGAGAGACTGAGGATGTGGGATTGAAATGGGCCATTGTGCAGTAGAAGGAAACGTCTGAGGAACAGAAATAAGCTGTGACTTTCACCAACACAGCAGAGTGACAACACCTATGTGTAGGAAGTAGAGCTCAACAAGGCGACAGGACCAATGAGTCACTCTAATGCTGGAAGCTCTGAATATTGTTGGGCTGTCTAATTATTATACAGTACATGTGAGGTTTTAATGCAAAGAGAGGTTCATAATATCACACTCCTTTGTGCGAGACTATCAGGCTGTCAGTTCTTGCTAAAAGGTAGTTTGAATATCCACCATTAAAAAATAAAGATTGATGTATCTTTCATAAGATAAAAGTAAATTTTTGTGTACCTCTGGTGTGTATATTCTGATATCAATCAAGTCAAATATACATTATATATAATGTGTTCTCATTGGTTTTCTTTTTCTTCAGGTCCAAGGTGCACGTTTCAAACACAGACAAGATCCCTGCTATATATCATCCGCTGTCACTGAATTGGCCTCGGCTCCCTCCACCTTCACCCGCAGTGCTGCCTCTTACAGCAACTGTCGGTACAATCACCGGATGTCATCTCGTCCCAGAGTCCACCAGACCTCCCACAGCTCCCTCCCTCTGGCCTGTGAGGATGCGGACGAGCAGGAGCAGTGGGCTGACCGGCACCATTCAGACAGCTGGAGGGCCCCTTGGAGGGGCCCCCAGTCTGGCTCCCTCTTCTCTCTACCCAACATGGGTTCGGCCAGCTCCCACTCCACCTGCTCCTCTCCTGTACCTCCTCCCAGCCCCCACCTCAGGTCTCATTCCCTTAACAGGAGCATCTCCCTCGTCCCACCCTTCCGACTCAATGTGGATGCTCTGATCGGGGCAGAGGAGACAGATGTGGACACAGGGAACAAAGTAAATCCAGGGAGCAGTGTGGACCTCACAGTGGTGTCTGCATACATCAGATCCAGCCTGCCACAGACTTCTCGGCCGTTATCTGCGCCGCCGGAAGACATCGGAACCTTCCCCACTGCTGGCATCCCACAGAACGTCTACAAGGCAGCCACACTGAGCCCCACTCCAAACAGCTTCTCCATCAACAGTGCCTCTTCTGCCTGGCTGGGGCCAAATATCCAACACAGCAGTATGCACACAAGTGCTGCTCCGTCCCTGAGCAACGTATCCATAAACCAGTCGGACACCTGCAGCGTTATCAGTGCCCCAGCTGAAGAGGCAGACAAGCTAGAAGAAGAGCAAGAATTCTACATCTGATGGATTGTTGTAAAGTGAGAGGGCTAAATCTCACCAGGAAGACACTTCAGGGCTGAGTTAGTCACAACAGCTCTACTCTGCTCCCTGGTGTTTGATAGTACAACTACAGGCCAGTGACAGTATAAACAGCTCCAATGTATTTAATGTTCTCATATATTTGTGAATGCTGCTTTTTTGCCTGTAGATTTGAGCTTTGTAAATGTCAGGTCATGTAAATCAATAATACACATTTAAAGGCCCAATCACTTAACACTGTTAAATAAAATAAAATCATTTCAATTCAAAGTATGCTACACACAGTTTCTTTAAGGGGCTTACCAACCTTGATTCTCTATTTTATTTACTTTCAGGCATTTAATCAAAACAACTGTTTAGGTCTGAGCACAAATGTGAACAATATAGAATTATATCCACACAGTGTAAAGTCTGTGGTACGTCTTGAGATGCTGGTGAAAGCAGGTTAAAGCCTGTAAGGCCACAGCCGCTGATGAAGTAAGAGTGACACCAAACAGACTTATTTCATGCAAGATTGATAAGCTTTGATAGTAAAAGATAAAAAACTGGCTGAACAAGTTAAGAAATAATGGACAAAGTATATAAGAAAAAAGAAACCATGGTAGCCAGCTGATAATTCACACTGGTGCCTAATTGGCCACAAACACTCCAAAGGTTAAGCAGCTAAGTTATGAAACCGGGGTAACACTAACCTGAAGCAGGTGACCTGTACTGTGAACTTCAAGGTGGACTTGCAGCACAGTGTTGCAGTTCATTGATTACTTAAGAACTGTTGCACCAAATAAGTACACAGGTGGGGAACGCAAAGGACCACCAACAAAACCATAGTGTTGCCCCCTACTGGCCTGGAGTGCAACTGCCCAAATACTAACTTCATTCAAAAATTAAACACTTTGCAAAAATGGTTATAGCTGTAATTGTGTTTTTTTTTTATAGCTATTTGGGGATAGAACGTCACAACAAGCTGACATAAACACAACCCTGATGTGTTAGCATCAAGTAGTTTTACTGCAAGTGTTTGTATCTACCTGAAGAATGTAAGTACAATATTCACTTTCTTGTTACCTCTAGTTTAGTCACCACCATCTCCTGAGAAAAATCTTTTTAGCTACTGGATGGTCAACTTTCTTTACCAGTTACTTTCAGTCTTGTCTGTGTGCCATGGGGTGCTGGGCAGGTAGTGGACAGTGGGTTTATCAGCGCTTGTTCATGGAAAGCAGCTACCTGAGACTGAACCATTCAGTGTGTTCAAAAACAAAAGATTGGTTAAAAATTTATTTTGTAGAGCTACAGAGCTGAAATATGGAAGAAGAAGGCCTGACAGGCAAAAAATAGCATGAAACTGAGCTAAAGATTGGCCCAGTTTGAAAATCTGCAGATGTTCAACAATGTGGTGGTGGGTGCAATCAGTTCACTAATGCTAACAATACAATGCTGCCCTCTTGTGTTGAAAGTTGAGGTCATTGATTAAATTTGGATATGACTTGGACATCCGGTGATTTTATCATTATTATTAAAGAGCTCTATCCTGGTTCTAAACTAATCTCTAAATGAATAAATGTCGACAGTGTTTCAGGACAGATGTGACCCAGCTGTTTTCGCTGAGGCTGCTCTGTGTCTGGAGAGGTCTTTAAGGACCTTCTGTTGCAGCTCATCCTCTCTCCACAGTTTGAGCATTTAAACAGCTGTGAGTCTGCCTGTGTGGCCTCCATACATTCAGAGACAGGGACATCCAGTAATAATGCCCACACTAGTTGTCATAGCAAAGTGTCCTTGCAGCTCTGCAGAGGTGATGTCATCATTGACCAATGAACAGGGAGAGATGCTCCACACGAGGAAGTCTGAAAAAGAAATCAGTCTGCAAGCTGAGATCTGAGCTCCTTTAAACAGTTTTACTGTCTAAATTGCATTTATATCCTCAATTTTACACTTTGTGACTGAAGCTAGGGTAGATCTTTAAAAGTAATGCAAACTGATAAACAGTGGTCATGCATGGATCACCGAACAGGCCTATCGGGCACATGTCAAGGGGCCCAAGGTGTGAAGGGGGCCCCTAGATCATAGAACTGTGAACTGTTAATTTATTCATTGGAAAATCAATCAAATAACTACATAAAAGCCACAAAATGAGAAAAAAGCGATACATTTACAAAAACATACAAACCTCTAAAACAGACAGAAAACCACCCCAAACACAACAATATGCAAAATGACAAAAATACTGATACAACCGAAAGTGACTGAGACAAATTGCTCCTCATGGTGGCGCCTGGTGAGAAGCCACCAAACCCATTAGGCTACATTGTTGGAAACCAGAAGTTTTGTACCAGTCCTTCTAGTTAATGTTAAGCTATTTTAGAAGTCAATAAAAACTTCGACCTATAGTCAGAGACTGACTCATGTCACCAAGATTCAGCCTCTAGGGACCACGAATGTCAGCACAAAATGTCATGGCAATCATCCAATAGTTGTCCAACTATTTCAGCCTGCATCAAAGGGGCAGATCTGGTGCCTGACAGACTGGCATTGCCTCCTCTAGAGCCACAGCACTAGAGTGACAGTGGTAGACATAGCTTCTTACTGGGAGTTTTTCATTAAATTGTTTCAGCTATAAAAGCACAGTTCTGATTGGAAAATGTCCAAATGCTATGTCTGAAAGATCTCCATCTTGCTTATAAAGACTTGAGACTTGTCTGGGACCCCAAAAGGCCAGCTCTGTCCTGTAGTAGGGCAGCATTGGCTGTAGCCTAGTACACACTGGCTGACATGCCAGGCCACTACTTCAGCTTGGCCTGGCTGCAACCAAGTGCCAGCTGACCAGTTTGTAATGAAATAGTGCCATGTACACAAGGATTAGTAAAGAATTACTGTTTTTAATATGCAGCTCCTGTCAGGCTGAGGACTCTTGAGCACTGCTCCACACCACAGAGTGACCCCTCAAAGCAGTGGGAGCTGGCTTTGCAGTTGGTCCAAGCATCAGAAACAAAGAGCACAAATCATTTTTTCTACAAATATGAACTTCTATAACCTAATGGTCCTCCAAAAGCCTCACAACCACCAGAGACGAAAGCTGCTGTTTGTGGTGGCGTCTTTTCAAATAGTTGTCTCTGGACAGTTACTGTGAGCATTAAAGTCCTACCAAATTCCTGCGTCTGGAGTTGGGGCATTGGGTTTTAAAGAATGCGATAATCACATTTAATGCCCCCAAGCCATGGCTACAGTAATTAGTCAACTCCAGTAATGGCTGGGATCCTCTGTTAGACAAAGCAGCCAAATACCTGATGGCTACCAACCATCTTCTTTACTTCATGAGAAAAATGCCTGCAGTTTGTTGACTGCCCCAAAATAAATGGGACATTTGAGGGAAGAAGACTTCACAGTAGATTAATTTTTGGTGAACTAGAGGGTATACTATCATTTACTATGGACAATTCATGCTTTTGCCCTCGTACATTCGGCTGACTGCATATTGTGCTGTAATAGGTGTGTGTTAAAGGTCAGTAGGCATGTGTTGAGGGGTTAATAAATGTAACAGTTTGTCTTACATCATGTTGATTCTTATCTAAAGTAACTGGAAATAATTTGATCTTGCATCAGACTAAATCAAGCTTTATCTGTGTAATTGCTTTAAACAGATTTTAGCCATCAGATTAGTTTTTTTTTACCTTTAGATGGAAACAGAAGCTCTTTATTGGAGTTTACCACTTGCATTATAGGCCTAACAGAGTATTTTTTTGCTCTGGTTGTGCTGAAGTATAAGGTGTTTTTTAATTGACTTATAATCTAGTCTTATTCTTTCTTTTTTCCCCGTGCATGGTGCATATACAGACAGATAGATAGCCCCTCAGAATACCCCTCTGCATTGTGGTAATTTAAGTTCACTAATTAATAGGTTATGCTGGCGTAATGTGTACAAACATGACCCAGTGGTTTTATGTGTAGGCCTCTCGAAGAATAAATGTGTTGAGCAGAGAGCTGATTGTCCTGTGGACTATAGAACAGAGCTGGGCTAGCAGTTTCCCTCTGTTTCCAGTCTTTATGCTAAGCTAAGCTAGAGCTGGGCTAGCAGTTTCCCTCTGTTTCCAGTCTAGCAGTTTCCCTCTGTAGCTAGAGCTGGGCTAGCAGTTTCCCTCTGTTTCCAGTCTTTATGCTAAGCTAAGCTAGAAGCTGTGCGTCTTCTAACGTCTTTTGTTCATTAAATCGTTATTTTTCTGTGATTCATTCACCCTGAACGTGTCGTGCTGTGTCGTCAAACCGAGTTTCTTTTGCCCCCTTCCCTCTACCCACTTTGGAATTTGCTGCTCGGTGACATGCCTTCCTTCGCCTGACTCCTTACTGCCCTGGGGAGGCAGGAGTCCCGGACGAATGGTACAGACATCGCCGACGGAGACCGCAAACACGGAGCGGCCCCCTTTAAACAGCGCCGTTAGGCAGTGTCCGTGTGAGACAACGTGAGCATCGAACCAGAGACAGAAGCCCGGGGACAGCTGGGGACAGCTGGGGACAGTCCACACTCATCTCCCCTGCAGAGGCTGAATGGTTGGTGCCCGCCTGACTGTACATTGGAGTTAAACGGACAGTATCACCTGTCCGCAGGTAGGACCGCAGCTGCTTAACAGACAAATCAACGGAAATCAGTACAACAGTGAACAGCCTGTTTAGTTCAACACATCATATGTTATAAAGATAGCCTACACCGTTTAGTAGGATTCACCAGCAGGTTCTTATGGTATCATCACAATGTTCTTATATTCCTGTCGGGACATGTGGTGACATTAGTACCTAGGATATATTTATAATGCCTATATGTTAATATTGTTGCAAGCACTTTGGTTTATCGCTGAGGACAAACACAAGTGTTATGTTCAGGGACTGATAAATGAGCTTCTCTATTGATTTGGTTGAAATGGAAGATGTATGTAAAAGCATCTATAGACTAATTGGTCCAGTGAGGTGTTTCAGTGTCGTGCATTACATGAGAGAAAGCTGTTTACACATGAATTTCTATGGATTATGTAGCAACAGCACTATATGATCACTCTCGGTTGACCTCACTGACCTTAGTATATTATTTATTTTCTTTCTTGTGTTTCCCCCAAGTTTTTTTTTCCCAGACTGCCCTGTGGACAGCTCCCTTCCTGCAGCTCTGAGGCCATGTGCCGCCTGACAGTCGCTTTACTCTTCATTTGCTTCTGGTTGGTGGAGAGAAGCCACTCAAATGGCAGCCTTCAGGACAGCATAAGAGAGCCACACACCAGGTTCGCCATCAGCCTCTACCAGACGCTCACCAAAACGGAGAATAACTCCAACCTGATTGTGTCTCCAGTGAGCATCTCCTTATCTCTGGGGCTGCTGCAGCTCGGAGCCGGGGGCAGCACACTGGCTCAGCTGGAGGGAACGCTTGGGTACAATGTGAACGGTAGGATTCATATCATTTTCTAGATACAGAACACCCACATGCAACATTACTAAAATGATTCAATAATTGTACATTGCACATCTTGCAGTCATTGTATAACTATTGCACTGCAACAAGAACAACATGCCATCCATTGCTCACAAAACTGCAAGATTAAACTTTGCCACAGATCATGAAGAGAAACCTGAGAAATACTGGCAGCACATTCTTTGGTCAAATGAAACCAAAATGATTTGTTGCATCAGATGGGGTCCAGCATGTTTGGCACGGCCTTGACCAGGACTACCAGAGTGACTGCATAGTGCTGAGTGTGAAACATGGAGGTGGCAGTGTGCTGAATGCAAAACATGTAGGGGAGATGCCATTTGTACATGACATTTGAATTTCATATGCCAAAATACTAGATGAACAGATGACTTGGCAGGAGAGACATTTACTTAACATTTCAGTGACATTAACCCAGGGTTGTACGCTGTATATAAGGGATGAAATGGGGAAGCGTAAGCCACTCCTCATCCGGGGAGAGTGAAGTTGGAGAAGTTGTTGGTGGCTCTCAGTGATGTTAGTACCAGGTGCTCCTGTTGGCCCTGTATATCACAGTGGTGTCCCGAGCCTTAATACCTGCCTCCATACCAACTCTAATCTCATTAACGACTCCTGGACCCTGGCCTCGGGGTCGAGAGGTCAATGTGTTCACTTGCAAACAAGGAGCTGCACGTTGCTTTTTCCTTTGCCTCCATGAAGTTATCTCATATACCAGTCAGGAATGGATATTGGTGATACTGGACTTTAGCTGGATACCTAGGTTGTGAACTAAAAATGAATTGAGCTCTAAAAGACTGTTTGACATTAATTTTAAACTCAGTGTTGACATCTTTAAATTGCTTGTTTTATCAAATCAACAGTACAAAACTTAAACATATTCACTTTATAATGATATAAAACAGTGAAAATCTTCACATTTGAGATGCTTATTAAACGATTAGTTGATTATCAAAACAGCTGGTGTTTCACTTTCTGACAACTGACTAATAAACTTATCCAGCTATGCTTTCAGCTCTTAAGTCATGTATTTCCAAGTTAGTAAAACAAGCTGGGGGTCAGTCCGTTGTTAAGTTCAGCACTGCTACAAAGGAAAGATGCCACTTTTTTGGTAGAAATCACAGTGTAGTGAGGAAATACTCCAGTTTTTCTTAGGTTTATTATAAAATAAATGGCACAGGGATTTTCTGCCCCAAGAAAACAGTAACAATAAAAACAGAACAGGGTGATAAATGAAAGAAAAACCCAACATAAAGAGTCTCAGTGCACTTTGGCATTGACTCCCCAGGTCTCCCAACTCCACTGGAGGGATGAACACTGTTCTTCCATAAGATATTCCCCCATATGGTGTTTTGATGGTGAAGACGCTGCGTAACACATTGCTCCAACATCTCCCATAGGTGTTGAACTGAGTTGAGATCTGGTGACTTTGAAGGCCACAGCATATGATTCACAACATTTTCCTACTCAAGAAGCCATTCAGTGAGAGGAGACACTGTCATCCTGGAAGAGAACACTCATTTATTAAGGCTTTTCCTTTCATTTGTCACAGTCTGTATATTAGGCCGAGAGAGATTACAATTCAAGGCAGAGAACACAGATATATAGAGTGATGTAATAAATATATAGCAATACAATGTTTATAGATTAGAAAAAAGAATGTACTGCTACCAAAACAAAATGCATCTACCCCCTACTCAAAACCAAACAAATAACCACAACAAAAAAGAAAGCTCGAACAATCTACTGCTTCCACCTGCTCATATTAACTGCTGCGCCCTCTTGCTAATGCTTCAGTCATGAGAGAATCTGTGTTTGACTTGAATCTGGATCATCCATCCATTTTCTAAACCACTTAATCCCACGGGGTCACGGAGCCAATCCCAGCCAGCTGCGGGCGAAAGGCGGGATACACCTTGTCGCAAGGCTAACACACAGACAAACAACCACTCACACACACAATCACTCCTACGGGCAATTGAGAGATGCCAATCAACCTATGCTGCATGTCTTTGGACTGTGGGAGGAAGCTGGAGCACCCGGAGAGAACCCGGGCAAGCACTGGGAAAACATGCAAACTCTGCACAGAAAGGCCCCAGGTCGGTCGGGGCTCAAACCCAGAACCTGCTTGCTGTGAGGCAACACCGCTAACCACCGTGCCGCACAATCTGGATCATTTCATCTACAAATGCTCAGAGTTCATTTGATGAGAAGGTCCCTGTGGCACCCCCTCCAGTCTGAGGGAGTGTGTAAAGCAAAGCTCAAATGAGTATTTGTTTGTGTGCAGTCCTGCAGGGATGTGCTTTCATGCTGCTGAAGCTAGAGGCTGCTGAGCTGAATATGCTGAAATGATGCATGATGTGAACATGGTGTGAAATATATTTCAATGACAATGCTGGTGATCAGATGGTAAAGCAAATGGTTGATTAAATGGTTTTACAGTATTTAACATTTTTCTACAGACCCATGGAGGGAAAAGCATTCTTGTGCATACAGCTTTCTCTAACAAGGTTCAAAGTGAATCTTCCTTTTTGTATAAAATTCCCACAGCACAACCGCATCACACTTACCCTCTGTCTTCTAATCTCACAGATGTTCCGGTACAGGACTTCCTTTTGCACTCACAGGGTGACATGAGCAACAGCAGCCAGGGCATGTGGCTGCAGCAGACTTGCACATTATTCATCCAGTGTGGTGTCCACCTCCTGACTGAGTTCACCCAACGTGCAGCAGCCTGGGCCAGCACCGGCGTGGTCCGAGCCAACTTCAGCCAGCCCAGCCACTCCCGCAGCCAGCTGGAGAGACTGGGGCACAATCATGGTGAGCAAGGCTGCTTTACAAAATGAATAGCTCCACTAATCATTATTATACATTGAAAATGAATGTAAAGGGGTTGCCTTTAGTAGCAAACCCAAAGAAAATGATCACCAACTCTGCAGACCTCCTGCACTTTTAGCGTCTTTCTTCCAGTTCTTTTGCTTTCACTGCACATTTACTGAATGTATCAGCCTTGTTTCCTGCAGCTTCATGATGTTTTCCACAAACCATACACCCACTGTACAGCAGACAGACAAAGTTAGAGACTTGCCAGCAAGGAAAGCAGACCTAGCAGCTAAAGAGTTTGTTTAGGTCGAGACCAAACCAGTGTTAGATGGAGTGTGACGATAATGTTGTATGTTGTGGCCAGAAAACTGAATCAATGCCTCTTTAATTTAAAACTAGAGCAGTGATTTCTAACCTTTTTACCTTGAAGCAAGATGCAACCCCTTGTTAAAATTACAGATTAGTCGTCCTGTGACCCAATACATAAGATCAGGGTAGAGTTGTGTTTTGAATGTACAGTATGTTCACAAAACTACAACCTAATGCTACCAGATACACTTGTTTCTAGGGATACTTTAGTCACCTGACAGTAGTTTTGGGGGGGGGGCGACAGTGTAGTGTGGAGGCTGCTGACTTCTAAGAGATGAGCTGCAGACCACATACCCCCTACATTAAACTTTGGCCTTCCCTCGTTAACTCCCAGATGAGTGGTGGCCCCTTCGGGCAGAAAGCAGCAGCGGGGAGCTGTCGGGCTCGGGCGAGGCCCAGGCAGAAGCCCAGGCAGAGGCTCGGTGGTGGGGCCACCGGCTACAGATGGCCCTCGTGAACAGAGTGGCCTTTAGGGCCATCTGGCAGAAACAGTTTCTCTTTACCAACACCCAGAACCTACCCTTCTTCCTCTCTGATGGGAGCACCATCAAGGTACCCATGATGTATCAGGCCATGGAGGTCAGCTTTGGTAAGAGACATAATCTTTGAACTCATCTTCTTTTTGTGTCAATAATGTATTAGTAATAAGCTCCACAACGTCACAGAAAATCAGAATATGCTGAAATTCCCCTCAGTCCCTAAAACCTAAAACAAAACTTTAAATTTAACAGCTGAAAATATGTTTGGGGCAGCATGGTGTTGCGTGGTTAGCACTAGGTCTTCACAGCAAGAAGGCTCCAGGTTTAGTTCCAACTGGGGCCTTTCTGTGTAGAGGTTGCATGTTCTCCCTGTGCCTCATAGTCTGAATTCCTCACCACAGACATGCACGTTGGGTTGATTGTCCATGAGAGTGAGTGGTTGTCTGTTTCTGTGACAGACTGGCGACATGTCCAGGGTGTACCCTGCCTCTCGCCCAGTGTCAGCTGGGACTGGCTCCTGCAACACTGGATAATCAGTATAGGACATTGTTTGTTTAATAACAAGACATATATACTTGGTCATAAATCAAAATACTGGACACATTTTACATAATGACTGTGTTAGATCAGAAGTTTTTTGGATTTATTATGAATATGCATGAATTCAAACTTTTAATGCAATCCATCCAGTAGTTGTGGAAATATATATTTTTCAGTCTGGACCAAAGTAGTGGATTGATGAACCAGCAAAGACCAACAGCATGTTGTTCACACTTTCATGCTACTATAAATTTAACATGTTTGGATTTTGGCTATTGATCACGTAAAATAAGCAACTACAAGACAGTAATCGGGTCACTGGTAACCATATTTTTGCTTTTTAAAGACTAAATAATTAATCAATTAGCCAAAAATTAGGGACTGATTCAATGAAATAGACCATAAATTGCACACCTGACCTTGTTTCCAGGTCAGTTCAGGACAGCATTGGACCAACATTACACTGTTTTGGAGCTGCCATACCTGGGACACTCTCTGAGCCTGCAGGTGGTCTTGCCCAGTGAGAGGAAGATACTGCTGTCCTCCCTTGAGTCTCAGCTCACAGCTCGCCAGCTGGCATCCTGGGACACCGGCCTACGCAGAACCCGGATGGACATTTTCCTACCCAGGTGATCATGCACATGGATTACAGATGATTTTTAGACTCAGATTCTGAACATCATTTTCATGTTTTTCCCCCATGAATGGAGATGATGTACAATTTTCTGTCTGGTGTTCACAGGTTCAGGATGCAGAACAAGTTTAACCTGAGATCAGTGCTCCCCGCTGTGGGCATCAGTGATGCATTCAACCCAACGGCAGCTGATTTCTCTGCAATATCAGGTCATATCATATCTTTATAAAATCTTTTTAAATGAAATTCAGATTTTCGAGGTTGCAGATCAAACAACAATCGCTGTAGCTTCACTGGCAGCTGACAGTTTCATTCTCCCTGCAGTGGAGGAGGGTCTTTATGTGTCCGATGCCTTCCATGAAGTGAGAATAGAGGTCACAGAAGACGGGACAAAGGCAGCTGCTGCTACAGGTGAAAAATGATCTTGTAAAATAATGGAACCGCTCAGAATTTGAAGTTATGAAGTTGCTAAAAAGAAGGAATTTCTCACCCTTGCAGCTATGGTGCTACTCAAACGATCCCGTGCTCCTGTTTTCAAGGCGGACCGGCCGTTCTTATTTCTCCTACGACAGATTAACACAGGTACGAGAGGAGGTGGAATCTGTCTCTACATAAATGAAGGTTGGTGCACAGATGTCACGGTGCTACAGAGGATATGAAACACAGACTTAGAAACTCTTTATCAATTGCAAACCTTTTTACTCTCCCCACAAATTTTCGAGCTTCATTCTGGTTGGTGCCTATTTAAAGCCGCATTCTGCAAACCACACTGTAATAGTTGAGACTTTAAATAACAACAGCCTCAGGTTTAATATGTAAATCTGCAGACACTTGAAACATCCATCACAGGTCTGCACTGACCTTTGTAAGTCACTGTATTTAAGAGGTAATATAGTGCAGACTGCACAATGAGTATTTAAATAAGTCAAAAATTAAAATAAAATAAGTATCCAAACTCTGCACTACAACACCCCATAGTCCAAAAACCATTCAAAACACCAGGGAGTTACGCTGCTGCACTGGGAAATTCAACCCTGCTGGTGTAGATTCAAATGTGTATCCATCCACAACTGAAAATAGTCCCCAGCAAATACAGTACTACTTCCTGTTTGAGTAACATTTGCTAAAAAACTAAAGTCCAGTTTCAAAACATTGAGCATTTGTTAAAAATGAAACTACATATTTGTGAGCTTTACTCATTTTAGTTTGATGTCTTTAGTAGAAACAGAAGGGTTTGGAGCTTAGAACCAGGCAGGGGAGGGTCATAAAATTATCTATCCCAAGTTTTATTCTTGGTTTTGACACATAATTGTGCAGACTTGATGTTCAGTGTGATCACATGACTCAGGTACTCCGATTCTCAAAACATACAGCAGCATTCTTTAAATAAATGGTCATCTACAATATTAATCATAATTTACACTTGGAGCCTCTGAAAAAGAACTGGTATGCTTCATTAAAGCAAATGTTTGTAATGTTTATGTCCTATTTGTTGTGTTCTCCATTCCAGGATCCATCTTGTTTATGGGCCGAGTGTTGAACCCTGCTGACCAGGCACCCTGAAACTCACTCACACAAGTGCACACGTCCATGCTACCGGTATTTTTTATTTGTAGACCAACAGGAGGGTCTGTGGACACTTCAGGAAGAGGGACACTATTTTTGTACAGATCTGTAAATAAAATGTAATGCTTTTACTCTACAGGACACGCTGGAAGGACTATGTCTCTCGGCTGGCCTGGGAACGCCTCGGCCTTCCCCCGGAGGAGCTGGAGGAAGTGTCTGGAGAGAGGGAAGTCTGGGCATCTTTGACTGCTGCCCCCGTGACCCAGTCCCGGATAAGCGGAGGAAAATGGATGGATGTTTTTACTCTCAGGTTGTTTTGGTTCTTTCTTCCAGTATTGGGGGAAAAAAAGCCTCTGAGATCTGATGTACTGTCATTAAATTTACCAGACAAAAACCGAATCACATCTTTACAGACCACTTTATTTACACGGTGCTTCACAGTGTAAAATAGAAACTTTATTCATGGAAATACAAAAAAGGCAATTTTTCACTGAACATTCTCTTTAAATAGTGCTCTAGGATTATTTACATCTCTACAGTGTATTCAAAATACTCTTTTGGTAGCAGCCTCTTCACAAACCAAGACAAGTATGGCAGATTTTGGTCCCGGTCCAAGGAAGGAGGGAACGGAAAAGGGCTGCCCTCTGAATCAGAAATCAACTCTTGAACTCCAGATCGTGATTCAGATTATTTGTGTATATTTGAGAGAAACTGAACCGCCCTAGCCACCTAGTTAGTTTTTTTAAATTACATTAAATAAACATTCTCAAATTTACACAAGTGCATTCACGGTTAAGTGACAAGAAGTTGGTTTGAGATTCATGCCCAGGGGGAGGGAGGGAGGGAGGGGATGGGGGTGGTTTTTAGGGGCAGGGTTGAGTCATTTGGCAGCAGACAGCCTGTTGGGACAAGCTGGCTTCTGAAACCTCAGTTCATCAACGCTGAAGGGGACAACAGTTTGTGTTGCATATCAGCTGTTTCAGGCTAAATAAAGATTAAAATGAGCAGTGGGTAAACGTAGCTTCAACGTTATTGCTGATTATGATGCATTAGTATCAGTTCCTGAGCTTGTTTGTCCCTGTATTTCAGCATTTGTAACCAATGATGCTGCACCGTTCAAAAGGACTTTACTTTGTGTTGCTCTCTCTGAGAACCTGCAGACGTTAATTCTAAAGTTACTCCTCAGTCATATTAATTGTTGTTCTGGTAGGTAAACCAGAAGCTAAGAAAATCAAGGCTTGATTTGAAGCACAAGTTGACAAATTCATATTCACACCCATTTGAGAGCACAGCCCCGGAGCACAGCTCTGGAGCGCTTCAGTGAGTGGAGTGTAAAAACGACAGGTACTCATCCTCCCACAAAAGCCAAAATCATATACAAGACCTAAAATGAAAACAGAGGTTAATGACTGAAAAGGCATGAGGAGAGAAAAGTGTTTCGTGAGTGTCTCCACCGGATCCTGTTTGACCCTGAGTTGGCCGAACATGCGCACACAACCTGAACCTTTCACACATTGTCAGGCTGTTGCATTATCACACATCCGTGACTGAATGTTACACTGAAATGTCCTGCCCTCCCTCGTTCGTCCTACCTCCCATTTGAGAGATTGTTCGCTCATTTGTCACTTAAAAGAAGAAAATCTTGATCCGAGGAGGAGAATAACTGAAGGGATAGTTCCACAGACTGGAAAGCAGCAGCACACAGGCCCAAAATCTCACTGCATAGGCAAACACCTCACCTGCAGCGATAAAACACCTCCTCACTCCCCATGCTGGATATCACATCATCCAGAGTCAACACTGCCATTAGTTTATACTGAGTGTAAACCAACGCGACCAACACTAAAAGTGGTGGTCTGAGAGCTGGATGCTGCCTTCGTCTCTGTGGGGTGCCGGTACAAGAAGGGGTTTTTGTCTGGGTCATTATCAGTAAGTTCAGTTTGGGAATGAGCTTCAGAGCGTGTCTACATGGTTCATGTTATTGGATCTGCTGTGGATCTCTTCCAGGAGGTTTTCCAGCTGCTCAATGAGAACGCGCTTCTTGAACCTTTGCCAAGAGCAAATGACAACAAAGTTACTATAATAAACAATCTGCTTCAACTATAATACACACATCATTGTGTTGCTCTTATCCAAAGTGAATACGTCAGTGAAACTTTCACAGGTTACGCTGTAGACAGTGTGTGAACCTCTAGATTCATGACATCAACAAACACTAAGTGGAGTTTGCAAACCTGGAGTCAAGTCAATGAAACAAGATTACAGGTATGACTTAGAGCAACTTATAAAAATACAAGAAGACTCTGCTGATGTGAAACAAACCTCAGAAGGTCTCAGGAGACTTCTAATCAAAAATCATTGATGTGCACGAAGGTGGGATGGATGACAGAGTTTAGGCAGTCATCAGTCCACAGTGCCAGTGGAGACTATTTAGTGCTGTGGTTTCATAGATAAGACAACTTTCCCAGCTACACTGTGAATATTTAACGGGTGGTGTGTTCAATAAGGACACACTTGTTTCTGTGTTTTTATCTTATGTGCATTGTGTTTGTCTGTACTTGTGACTAAGATTATGATCACATCACATTTACTGACCATTAAAACAGGTTTAATTTCAGTGTTTGCACAGGTTTTCTTGCCACTTTAACTCTTCACATGGAGAAAGTTGAGAAGGGAGGACCAAGTGAGACAGAAGGGTAATGACAGTGCTGTGGTGATGTGAGAGGAGAGTTGAACTGCATACCTGGCCGCCTCTTTAATGATGTTTTGGAGGAAGATGAGCCGAGTGTCCAGTGTGCCCTGGATATCCTTCAGGAGGAGGAAGATCTTCTCATAGTCTGAAACAGGATAAGCAAGTGATTGTGGATTAATGAGTTTCTTATCGCGGTGCTTCGTGGACAGGTGAAGCCCTTAATCCAGTTCTCTACCAACAGAAGAATGCCAATGACCAATAACATACAGTAACACAGTTCCTTCTCATAAAAAGTGTGATTATCAAGGTGATTTGTTTTAGATCTCCGACTAATGACAGCTTTGATCTCGAGTATTTGTTTCACTGACTGATGTAAAAAGTAGTGACATCCCCTAACTACTTGTTTTGTCTGATTAAGAGGCCCAAACCCAGAGATATTTAAGATATTAAAATGACATAAAACAGGGAAATATGACAAATCCTCACATTTAAGAGGATGTTTTAAATTTGGGCTTAATACATTGGTAAACAATTTAATTACTTTATTATTATCAATTGAGTTGGTTGACTGAAGCCTAGCTGATGGTAGTTTATCACAAACATAATGGCACTGGTGAAGGTACTGACCAATAACTAACAACAAACTGCAACACAAAAATACCAAAGGTTTGTTAAGACATAATATGGAAACAGTGACTTCATTACATTGTTTTTCCCACCAGAAAACATCAAGACATTTAACTAACTGTAAAATGTCACTACAGATTTCGGTCAACTCTTATTTGATCAAATGTTCTGATTACTTCCTTACTTAAAGGATGTTTATATTTTGTCATTTTTCACATTTGTGTTACTATTTCAAGCAGGGACTTGTGCATCTACTGTACACTAATTAATCCATAACTTCCTTTGCCATACACTGAAAACATAAAGGGTTTTAAAAGATGCACCAAATTAAATCCACAGCGATCACTTTCATACTGATACCAAATCCAGGGACCATAGTGCCTGTAGCATCAAAGAATATCTACCACCTTCCAGCCCCACATGTCAGCTGTTCCTTTTATTTTGCCTTGCACTGTGATTATTCTACATACGTCTGCCAGGTTTTCTGATCTCCTTGGTGATGAGCACCCTCAGTTCATTGTTGACCTTCATCGTCTCATTGTGAATGTGCTTCTTCAGAGCTGCAGGTGTCAGGTAGCGAGGCGGCTGGTTGTCCACCAGCACCATCTCCACTCCGCCGTCGCTTCCCAGCAACAGCTCACCCTCCCGGGGCCGCCTGTTCTCCTCCTCGTCCCTGTGCCGGAAGTCCTGGGGATCAGAGGCTGCATGGTTCTCCTGGTGGTCGTCGGGCCCCGAGGGATGATCTGCCTCCGAGTCTGAGTCGTAGTGGTTCTGATTCAGGTGGTTGATGATCAAGTCTGGATCAGGTGCGCCGTTGTTCATGCCCATGTCTGTAGGGGAAGAAAAACACATCAGCAGTTGTTTATTTTGTTATTTGTCACGTGACACGCTGATGACAGATGCTCGTCAGTCTTCATGAAGGAGTTCATACCCTGCCAATCTGTATGAGCTCCCAGAACATCGAACACCAGTGATACTGATTTTTAAACAGCTTCCATTAAAGGGAAATGCCACCAATTTTACACATCAAGATGCGTTTTCTTGTCATGGGGAGAGGTACTCAGCCTACTTAGTCTGTGGAAACAGCTGCATGTCTTTGTGGATCTGGAGATGATGGTGCACTGCAGTATGTTCCACAACTAAAACCTATGGAAGGAGCCTAACGAACTAGTTTTAACTGAAGTCACCAAAAGTTTGAACCGACCAATAATTAGAACTAAGAAGTGAATAATGTTTGAAATAGTCCTGTATGCATCATGCACATCAGTCCAACCTGTAGGTCGAGGGCTGGCAGGGGGCGTTACTGGAGGGGTGTAGGCCCTGCCCATGCGGAGTAGAGGTGACATGCAGCGGCGTCTCTTGGGACCTCCACCCTGCATGTTGTTGTTGTTGTCTCCTGGTCGCTTGCCTTTGTTCTGAGGACCAGTCACAAACTCATCGGCCTCATCGATCATCATTCCCTGAGAGAAGGATGAGAAAGTTAAAGCACAAAGGCCAATTTAGCCTATGTGTTTCTCACCCAGTAATTTTCATTGGTCTGTTACTCAGGAGAGAGGATCTGGGTTAGCGTTGATATAAGCCAGTGAGAGCTACCTTCTTGTCCAGTTTGAAGGGGTTGCCGAATGTGTGCAGACGTTTTGGCTGCTCGGGGTCCACATCTCGAAGAGGCTGAGGGGCAGCTTTGAGGAAATCCTGGTAGTTGCCCATCTGGGCAACTGGAACACTGTGGAGCTGGTCTGGACATGGGACATGGACATTCACCAACATGAAGGGAGAAATCTACAGTTTTTGAAGAACAATTCTCACCAGACAAAACACTTGAGTCAGGGGTTAAAGTTCACACCTGACATCATTTCTGGGTGCCGCTGCAGATGTAACAGAGCACGCTTATGAACAAAACCAGCACAGTGACTTACCTGAGTCCTGCCCTCTGAGATTACAGACAGTGGTGTTGAGCAGGTTCCTCCTCATTCGAGTGAGCTGGTCCAGCAAGTGGCTGCGAGGGATGTCGTAGGGATTCCTAAAGCTCTGAGGTTTCAGGCCCTGATGGAGACAGCGGAGACTGTCAAATCAAATCAAATCTATTCAAATTTTATTTGTATAGCGCCAAATCACAACAAAAGTCATCTCAGGACACTTTACAAACTAAGGTCTAGACCTTACTGTTATCAATATTATTACATAGGGAAAACCCAACAAATCCCCCTTGAGCAAGCACTTGGCGACAGTGGGGAGGAAAAACTCCCGTTAACGGAAGAAACCTCCGACAGACCCCGGCTCTTGGTGGGCGGCCTTCTGCCTCGACCGGTTGGGGTGAGTGGATAGAGGAGAGACAAAAGAAGAAAAGCAACAAGACACAACAATCAAACACTGATCAGGTCGATGTGGCCGGTGACTGCTCGTCAGAGACATAGAGCTCCAGGGCCAGGGCAACCTGCAGAAAGGTACAGGGAGAGAGAGAGGACACACTACGGGAGAGAGAGAGCAGGAGGGGAGGGGAAAGAAACTCAGAGCATCATGGGGCCCCCCAGCAGCCTAGGCCTATAGCAGCATAACTAAGGGAAGGCTCAGGGTCACCTGATCCAGCCCTTAACTATAAGCTTTATCAAAAAGGAACGTCTTAAGTCTAATCTTAAAGGTAGAGGGTGTCTGTAAACTGTAAAGAAAGGAATGGGGAACTGGGGCCTCCCTTCCAGTCAGGAAGGTTGGTCGTTTTCTGGTGAAATACTGTCACACTTTGGCTAGAACAGAGTGGAAATAAAATATGAGAGAGTCAACCATTTTTCAAATACCACAACCAATCACCCAAACTACATAAAACATCTGAATAAAGCCCTGAGGAGCAAGCCAGGGCAGGCAGTGGGTAACAGTGAGACATGAACAGGGAACTACTCATGCTGAATATCAAAATGACAGTAAATGCAGCCCAGTGGACATCAGTAAAAGGCAATCCTGAAGTGTATAATCATGACTGAATAGCTCTTGCTTATTAAAGCTATGTATTCCCATAAACATTCCCAATAATCTATCCTTACCTTGTTGAGCAGTGCCAGATGAAAGCCTTGAAACTCTTTGGGGTTGAGCTCCATGGGCAGAGCCGGGGCATCTCCTGTGAGACTCTGCAGCTGCTGGATGAAGTCCCTGCGCTGGGCCAGAGATATACCTCCACCCCTCCACCGCACCTGGATTCCGGTCTCTGATGGTGGCTTCTTACCAACTGAGGCAATCAAGCGGTCGTACTCAATTTTTGACTGGAAATGCAACAGTAAAGTAAAAATAGATTTTTTCAGTGATCAAAATTTAAAAAAATGCCAATGCTTTAGTGTTTGATTTTGTTTTAAAGTCTCAGAAATAATAAATAAAGACCTTGATGAAAGAAATCAACAAATATATAATCACAGAATAAATAAAGACTAAGAATCTGCTGGTACAGATTAACACTGTACAGACATGATTTGGTGTGTATTTCTTTTACACATAAACCCAGAACAGATTTTCTGCTATGTGTGCCCGAACATGAAAAGACACCAGAGCTCAACAACAAACCTGTTGACTGAGCTTCTTCAGGTAGGAGACCACGCTGTAGCTCAGGCCGTACTCCATGTTCTCGGCCAGCAGGTTCGGCGCTCCCATGATTCTCAGAGCTTTCCTCAACGACTGTGAAAAGACAGCAACAGTAAGACCAGTGCAGCATCATTTATGGTTTTTTAGTGCATCAATCAAAAGAAACAAAACATAATGAGCTAAAGAATGATACCAAGTCCACTGACCCCGATATAATATGGAGGCATGGTCTTCAGGTAGTTCTCAAAAGACTGCCGCCATTTGAGAGTTGGCTTGAACTTGTGCACTTTAATCAAGTCGTCTACAATAAAGCAAGAAAAAAAAAAATCAATCAAAAACAGGTATTGACTTTCATTCTGCACAGCGTATGTTAAAAAAACAGATATACCAAAGCCTTCTGTGATATAATTTACACAAGAGAGTAATTTCACATTTTTAAGAGATTAATTCTATTTTCTGACTTAACTGGTAATAATTCTGATATTATAACAGTGCATATTTAGCTACAGGTGCTGAGGAATGTGGAGAAAATGAATGACAAACAGCATTAACATGACAGAACACATTAGTACAGGTGTCACATAAAGTGACAGTATAAATGAGAGATAATCCCAAATGTGGTATGGATCCACAAGTCTTACCCAGAAGTGGCAGAATCACAGGGTAGTTGTAGGGCATCACAAACAGGTTGACACAGTTCAGCGCTGTGCTGGCCTTTAAGTAGCCAAACGGTTGGCCCAGGTCACTGTACTTGGCACTGTTACACACAAACACCTAAAAGACAGAGAGGAAAATGAATGAATGTCTGGTGATGATAGCAAACAAAAACATGTTGCATGAAGTTATGGATAAAAATATGAATTTACATGCATCAAAGTCATTAGTGAGTAACTGATACACCTTGTGTATATACACTATGTGTATCATGTATTACAAAACCCTTAAAAAGCAAAGCTGCACTTCAAAAGGTTCCCTCCGTCATTTTTAAACTAATGCCTTCACCTCTAACCTCTGTCAGACAATCAACCTGGCTGATCATGATACCTAATGATTTTAACTAGTGTTCAGTCAAGCTCAGCTTTGAGCCAAACATTTACATTAGCATGTTGTTGTGCTAATGTTATCATACCTTGAGTTAGCATGTTATCACACACTTTACAAAAGTAATGATATTAATATAATAATAACACATTCTAGCACACCACATTAGCTTAAACATACGATATGTGACATTTAACATGTCAACATGTTTGGAGTCAGAAATCACTTTCTCATTCACTCATTTATTATTGCCCACATTACAGACACTCAGTCACTTTCTCTAATAATTCAACCAAATATGGTGGAATATCACAATAAGCATGCAGCTATGTGACAAAATTAAATTATCAAACCACCAAAAGTAAAAGAACTATGGATTTCAGCTTTAATGTAGAAGTCCTTTGTCATCAAATGTTGTTTTACAGTACACTGTGTTTGTGATGGCACCGTACCTGCCAGCAGATGTGCGGGGACTTCCTTTCCAAAATGTACTGCGTGAGTGGCGAAGGCTCCAGCTCATACTTGTCAAAGGGCACTTTGTCTATCACCATGGGCTCAGCGTCCAGACAGGAGAAACGTATGTGGGGGTGGGCTGAGCGGGGGGGCTGGTACATGAAGTTACAGTACATGTTAAAACACAGTAATGGCAACACTCATTCACTGTCAAGTTTTGTTTAACTTTAGGATGATTCTGCTGTTTTTATTTATTTATGTATTCCAAGCATATAATAAAACAGATAAGGGAAAAGAAATCATGATCAATATATACCTCAAAACAACCAGAGAAACCCCCCCCCCCATTCCCGCGGCCCTGAATCACTGCTTTCCTTCTAACCAGAAATCACAATTACACAATTAATAACCAAATTATATACAATAAATTATTCATATCCCACCCAAAAACATACCAATAATATCATGATAACATCATTACACTTCCTGTGTCCAATACCTAGCTATGCAGACCTTTTTATATTTATTCTTAAATTGTTTTACACTTATACATTTTTTTAAATCATCACCTAATCTATTCCATAATTTTACCCCACACACAGATATACAAAAACTTTTCCTAGTTGTACGTATAACCTGAGTTTTTAAATTTAAGTGGCCCCTCAATCCATAACCACCCTCTCGATCAGCAAACAAACCCCGAATACCACTTGGCACCAAATTATATCTAACTTTATACATAAATACAGCAGATTTATATTCTACTAAATCAAAAAATTTTCAAAAACCTGATAGTGCAAAGGATGAATTCGTATGATCCCTATAACCAAGTCCATAAACAATTCTAATGGCCCGTTTTTGCAATATAAATAATGGCCATAATGCACTTTTATATGTATTTCCCCAACACTCAACACAATAGTCCAAATACGGTACAAACAAGGAACAGTAAAGAATATGGAGTGACTTCCAATCCACGATATTTTTAACTCTAGCCAATATAGATATACTTTTAGCCATATACTTTTAGGATGATTCTGCTGTTGCTCTAGCTTATGAGAGAAAGTGACAGCTAATACAAATGTACAAAAAAATACAAGTCTTCTACTGTGATTTAGTTTTATTGATTACTCCAAGTTTCTTACCAATGTAGGGGAGTTCTGGTCCGGCCAGAAGGCCTCAGGAATAGGCCAGTGTCCAATGGGGACACCGGTTTTAGGATTGGGTCGGACATAGATCAGCTTGTGGCAGCAATGCCAAGGCTGTGGACCAGACTTCACTACCTCAGCTGGAGCATCTGTCCACATGCATACAGAGGAGGATTATTTTACTGGTAAGACAACCAAGAGCAGCTCACACAAGAAAGTGTTTGTGAGATACAGAATGATAAAAATGGTTTTGTTAAACTGTAACAGTGCCAAGGCAGTTAAAATACAAGGTATGGGGTTTAAACAGTGACATCCACCAGCTGTTTATCATCAACAGAAAAGAAAAGCTTGCAGAGGGGAATTAAAGGCAGTGAGTACGAGAGCAAACAGCTCCTCTATTAATCAAACTGATGCAATGCAGCCCATGTCAACAAGGTCTTCTTTTCCCAGAAATAAAGTCAGGAATAAACTTCATTGAAACAAACAGAGGCGTCTCTTACCCTCTAGGGGAGGCGGGTCAGGCCCCGTCTTCTCAAAGTTTATCACCACTCCACTCTGAATCTTCTGCACCAGAGACTCAAGACACTGGTTCAACATACGCTGTGAGAACACACTGTAGGAACGTCCTGCAACAAGCACACACATGTATACGAGTATATACCCAGAAAACATCTGGGGCTGGACCTTTAGACAGTCAAATTTGGATTAAGTATCCACTTGTTGATCTATAGTGGTTTAATTTTCTACAGTTTTGAAGCTGCGTTTGTTTATATTTTTGGCCACATGGGGGCAGCAGGATCACGCTGAAAACATCTTACACATTTTCACTTTACTTTTAATATTCTTGTCCTTGATTTCTTGATCTCTTGAATACTAGATTTTGTCTTCTATACTGTATGTGTGGTGTTTGCTCTTATGGTGTTTTGTTGCTGCTGGGACACAGGAATTTCCCCATTGTGGGATCAATAAAGTCCTACCTACCTACCTACCTGCCTATGCTGCTGCTAACATGCTAGGAAACACCTGCTTATTTACACATCTAGACTTTGTGAAATATTATCATTCAACTGGAGATGTGTATTTGAGACCATTTGATGATAATTAATCCAGCATTCCCTCTTTTTAACCTCAAGATATTGAGAAAAATACCCAACTTTTAAGCTGCTACATATTCCACTGTCTGCTGTTTGGCGCTGGGAGGGTTGTGTAGAGTGAGTTCATTAAAACTTGTTTGCTAAACAGCTGCCTGCTGCTGGAACAGGGTTAAGATTCAATCAAACCGTTAATAAAGCATAAAAAGAAAGTAATGACCTAAAAGAGGCTCAAAGGCTCCAGGGAGCTGAGGTGAACTAGAGCGATTCTTTGTGGGTCTGTCACATTGAACGGCCACTTTCACATTGCATGCCGTCAGTAATTACACACTGTTCTATCCATAGTTAACAGAGCCAGTACCGAGAAAGCAAAAAGGTACAAATAACTTTACATTTACAAACAAAAACTCACCTTTAGCCACACGGATTATACATTAGCATTGCATCTCTGCCTTTTTTAAATTATTGTACAGTTTAAATTATGTCAGCTTAGCTTAGTTAAATGTTATATGTAGACTGTAGTTACTTGTCAAAACAGTGAAGTGAGAGGTGCACAATGGGTAAAATGTCTGCATTGTCGAAATGAAGTTATTACAACAGACACAAAAGGTTATTTTTGCAAAAAGGTCACATACATAACTAGTTTCTTGCAGAATCAAAAGCAAAAAAAAAATTAAGTTTCAAGGAGAAGCATCAAGCATTTCTGAGAAGCTCTTTGACATTTCTTTTGGTATTTATCCAAATTTCAGTAGAATCAAATCAAATTAATTAGATTTGGACTAGATGCCAATTTCCAGCTCTACTTGTTTAGCTATATAACTACTTGTTTTACACAAGTCTAACAAATCCAGATGTTTCACTAGAACCACTGCAATTTCACTTAAAGCCAGATGAAAAATAGTGCGAGCTGACAGAAGTCAAACCACAGCACAGTCCTGACAGAAAACACCTGATACTATTTACATGTGGATGCTCGTAGTTTCAGTTAAGACACTGCAGTGTCTGATTATACGGTGCAAATTCAAGTGCTCTCTACTTGACATTGTGCTCATCCTTAATGGGTTGTACCTGTTCAAAATACATGCAAAAAAGTATATTTGCATAAAATGAAGCTCTAAAGCGCTGAATTTGCTTTAGTTTATTCAGTCGGGGCAGTAAACGCCAGAAAAAGCACAGGCCGGGAATCAGACACACCATCTTACAAAGCTACAACTGATTAGTTCTTTATTTCACTTTCTAGCCATTTACTGCCTCCAACATCACCTCCAGTGACCTTGTTATGCATCCATTCACTCACTCATTTCAAAAGGCAGTGGCTTTGTCTTTTATCAGCAGAAATGGACAGGCAGCATTTACTGTAGACTGTCAGTGACAATGGAGCTGCATCATGTTCTGCATTCAGCACCACTGACTGCTACAGAGCTTTGGTGTGCTTTGTCCTTTGTGTGTGTGAATCTTAACCTGCCATAAGCATCATTCTGGTTTGTTCCTCCTGCCAGCTGTTTCCACAACCAGGCAGCACAAGGACTGGAGACATTCAAGAGGGACAGATAAAAGTATACTTCTGTAAGTGATGTTCTTTAAAACTCGCAGGCAGGCAGCCAGGGTTCGTCTTGTTCTACAGGCGAGTGGGATTACAAATCGAAATCACCAGCCTGAAAGTATTAAGATGAGTGTATGAGTGGGACAAAGATAGTTTCAACCCTGGGCCAGGTGTGAAGATCTAGGCTTTCTAGATTGTGCACTCCTCCACAACTGAGCTGCTCAGCAGTTAAAACATGGCGCCGTGTTTGTACTGGGTTGTTCGGGTTCCACTGACAATAACACAAGAAGCTCTAACTTTAGAGCAAGATGGTGCTGAGCCAGGATATAGACTGGCCCTTGCTGAAGTGAAAAACATCTGCCAAGACATCTTTGTATTGACAGAGATGATTCATCGACTGTGCTCGCATTCAACAAACAGCTATTTCGATCTGCCATTATGAAGACTTTGAGCTTGTCCCAGCATGTTCCACAAGGTTCTGCTGCAGAAATTAGGCCTGTGTAACTCCCAAGAGGAATAGGTCTTTGATGTTTTTCCAAAATAAGAGTTTAATGCCTTCTGTTTAGAAAGACATACAGCAAACTTTAATCATTTATAAATGCTGCCGACACAAAGACCTCTAAATAAAATTAAGTAAAATGAGTTGGTTTTCTTAGCATTTTAGATTGTTTGTAATATTTGAAAGTGTAGGGGCTACAGGCTGAATCTGGGTTATAGGGGCATGTTTCTATTTATCATACAGAAACAAAATACAAGCAAAGAAAAGACACAAATGAAGGAAATGCAGTTGCAATTAAGGGAACTGAGACATACCCAAAGTGTGCTCAGGGTATTTCCATAATGGTGTCACTGTATTTAAATTCTAGTGATTTTCTACTGCTTCTCTGTAAAGTCTGAAGATTTATAAGAGACAGACTAAAGGAAGCATGATCAAAATAGAAGCAGCAGAGGCTGAGATATCCTGACTATAGTCCCTGCTGTGAGCGAAGCACCAAACTGGCTCGTACAATTCCAAGAAAAAAAAACAACTGCTCAAATGAATCTTTCATTAAAGGGGAACCCCACCAATTTTACAGTGTTAACAGATGCTGAGAACTACTTCTACATATGTGACGTGCTCCTTTAAACAATGCACTCTACAAGACATTTTACATTAACCAAACAGCAGCCTGTTATCAGCCCACCTACCTCCAGTGACCTCACACATGGGAGTGATGGGAGAATCGTCAGGCGGGACCCCTCCAAGGGGTTCAGGCTCCACCGAAGCGCTGCCAGGGATCCGCAACACCAGAGCAAATAGGCGCTGGTCCCAGCGGAAGGGCTCCTTGGTCAGCTCGCTACCAGGCAGTGGGGTGGTCAGAGGCAGCTGGAGCTGGACAATGGAGGAGGAGACAGAGAAGCAGACGTGACAACAATGTGTGTAGGTTCGACAACGTTATGATGGGCCAGAAGTTTGGACACACTTTCCCATTCAATGCAGAAATGTTAAAATATTGTAATGCAACCAAGCAGAAAGCGCTACTGATTGGCTGGGGCCCCTCTGTGGAGATGTTGGCTGACCTCGTCTTGGACTCCACCACTGCTGGTCAACTTGTTGCCGTCGGTGATGGCGATTATGATGGCTGGTTCCAGGAAAAAGGGATTCCTTCCCTGCAGAGAGATAAAAAAAAAAAAGATATATATGCAGTTAATTTAAAAACTAAAGAATAAGAGCAGACAAAAGCAGCGTGTCAACCTAAAAAAAATTTAGTGTGCTTATAAAAGCCAGGAGCAAAATTCATATTGGAATTTAGCACTTTTATATTTATGGCACTTAAATGTCTGAGGAATAAATGAACACATTTAACTTACTGTTAGGTAGATAAAAAAGAAGTAATCTGGAGTGTGTATCTGGATTGTCCACTCCACAGGGGCAGACTACATAACCCCAGGATTTAACTCAAACTTTATTTGTGCTAGACCCCACAATATTTCATGACATCAGCACTCCACACTGATCAAATAAAACTGGAGCAGCACTGCATTCATCACTATGCATCAGTCCTGTGGGATCTCACAGTTGCCATATTTTAACTTAAATTAAATGCAAAACCTCAACGCAGTGGGACCAGTCCTGTTAGCAAACAGTCAGCATGCTAGACCTCCCTACAGCATCATGCAGGCTTCATAAAGGCCACCCTGTTCTGGAGCAATTATTAATGGAAGTGGACCCATTTGGACTTTACCTGTAGGCTTTGGTTTCTGCTGAATGATGGATCTGTCCAGTTACAGCCCAAAGTAAATAGAGCAGGATACTAACCAAGATCCACTGTACTGCAGGTATCCATGACAACCTGCCCAAAATCCCCTTATATGAGGTACTTTCTCAGCATTCTAATGAGAAAGGGATGAGGCTAACATGAGGCTAGTTTTTACTGATGCTGTACAATTAGGTGATGTTTATAAGAGAGCTAAAAAAAAAATACAGCTACTGAATTTAGAGAGACATCATTTGTCTATATTGATGATATAGCCAGCTCTGCCACCACAGTCTTGTCCATTAGAGATCAGCCTTACCATATGTAGAGCTGAAACTAGAAGCCCAATTAGACGGTCAACAGAAAAATATCGATTTATCATTTAAGACACATTTAAAACAAACATGTACATCTATCTATGCAGTCAGCTACGGTCAAATCCATCTGAAGCAGCAGGAACTGCCAACAGTGTCAGGCTGACAAAATCCATGATAGCCTTGTTTATCACCCCCACTGACATGTTGACTTACAACCAAACACCAGCCATATCACTGCCTCATTCTCATCCTTTCCTGTCCTCTTATTCTCCTGCTCTTTCACTGCTCTCTTAATGAAACTGATGAGTGTCAAGATCATCTGCTGAGTGGCTGCCTCTCTACCTCCACCCCTCTTCATCTCCCGGGGAAGTGTCATCACAGATCCCTGGCAACCTGGAGGGCTCTTTGTTACTGTAAAAAGAAGCACTACAAGGCAATATTAACTCCCCCACAGGCGTATTCCCTTTTGTCTTCTCTCTGTCTAGCTCTCTACCCCAGTGAACATCTTATACCTTGAGCACTTAGGAACATCAGGGTGGAAAAATCAAAGCCGACTTTTCTTTATAAGTTAAACCGAACAGAGAAGTGGCTGATACAGAGTTATTACACAGGGCACATCAAGTATAAAGCCAGTAAAACACAAGCTACTGCATTACTTAGGTTTGGCTTTGATTTACAGCTGCTGAAGCAAGCTAAGATTGAAAACCACACAAGAGAAAGGGTGTACAGTCATCAGAGAGCTGGTGAAGTGAAGCCTCTGTCAGGTTTGACTGACCAAAGAAAAGAGCTCCACATCAGAAGGTTCTGTCTGTTAACTTGAACTGACAGAGATTCAGATAATTCTGTCCATTGCCTGCTTTTATCATATTATTATGGGCACTGATATCAGTGTTAGTGTGGCTCTCACGTTCAGTTAACCACTTGGTCTGCTCATAAACAAATTAACACACATGTCCTATTTCTCTTTAAGCTTCACATACAGGAAGAAAAGCAACAAAAATCGTTTCAAAACAGATGTGATGCACTAGTGTAAGCATCATCAAAAATAGATAAATGTTAAGTTAAAAAGCCAAATATGTTTCCAGTCATCAAATATGACAATCTGGGGCTTCTATTTTAAGCTTTCCCTTGTAAAATATAGTCATTTCCAATAAATGCAATATTGGTTATGAGGTCAAAGTCAAACTGGGGATGAAGGGAGTGTGCCCTCTATTCTGAACCCGATCTACTAGTCGTGAAACCGAACAAGCAGAGAGAACTGGTCATTAAATTATAGTTATTGCCAAATAACCCTGTCATTACAGGTCACCAGTGACCAGCACAGGGCACAGTAACCTTGCCCTTTGCATGTGCTGTTTGTGTTCACGTGCTTGTGTCCATGATGTATCTGCCAGCAGGGCTGGTACTTGACATTCACACTGCGAGTGTCAGAGTGTCAGACATGCATTATGTATGCTGTGTGCAGCATTACGCTGAATGGAAGGAATCTTCCATTTGCTACCAAGGAAATGCTAGTTAAACATTAATTTGCTCCTATTGTACCGACTTACCTCCATTATCTCCATACTGGAAAACAGACATCCAGATCCTATAATCAACCATAAGCATGCGGTTCACATAGCAGTCAAAGTGAGTATGGACGAGACATTTGAACTGTTCTGTTCTCCTGGCAGAAAACTGCACCTCACTTTAAAACACTGGAAAGAAGACAAGAGAACCTTACAGGGTGATGTGTACATCTCCTGCAAGCTAAATCAAGCCGCTCTGGTCGTTTTGTGTTGCATGCTGAGGTATGTAGCAGGATGAAGCAAGACTTTTTAATGTGTTGCAGAGAAGTTGTTAGGCTGACATGAGAGACATCAGTTCATCCAGCCAACCATTACCTATACCCCTTAACCCGAAGAGGGTCACGGAGAGCTGAAGCCTATCACAGCTGACACTGGGTGAGAGGCAGGGCACACCCTGGACAGGTCGCCAGTCTATCACAGACAATTAGAGACAGACAAACAACCACACTCACTCCTACGGGGGATTTAGTTTCACCAGTCAACCTAAGCTGCATGTCTTTGGACTGTGGGAGGAAGCTGGAATACCCGGAGAGAACCACACAGACTCCACACAGAAATCCACCAGGTCAGCTGGGGCTCAAACCCAGAACCTTCTTGTTGTGAGGTGACAGCACTAACCACTGCACCACCATGCCACCCAAGAGACATCAATTTTACTTTCAATTTCACTAAACTAGAAATTTGACTACAGACACAAAACTGGTGATGTCATTAAGGACTGGACTAGTAACAATGAACTGGTTACAGACTTTGTGGACTGAATTCAGTCCCAGTGAGTTTTACGTTGTTGTGGGCTTTAAGCTGTGAATCAAACCTCCTCTGCTGTTCATCTGGAGGGCAAGTTGCACAATAAAATTTATGTAAATTCCACTTTAAAGTGACTTTCTTCTTCGACTTGCTTTACTGGTCTCACATTGTAAAGCTTTCCCCTGAATATCTTAGCATTCAAAATTTTGTTATCAACTCAACTCAACTTTATCAAAATATTTAACTTGTCAGAAAAATCTGTTTGCTGGTAACTTAGGGAAAAAATAGTCCCAGTTACAAGACCATACTGTACACCGTTTATATCTCAGTACAAATAAACCAGAAAGCTTGAGGCACAGAACGCCAGGTATTTTTAAATCTAAATTGTAATAAAAAGATTTTAAATGTCCTCTATGAAGCTAGAGACTATACTAAGTAACAACTTATTAGACGCTTCTAATTTAAACTAATCGTATAACTCAGCAGTCCTGAAATAAATTCTGCTTTTATGAAGGTTACAATGCTGTTTTTGTTTTGACTATTGTGGAGAAGCTTTGAAAGCTGTTCTGATGACAGCAGTTGTTCTGAATATTTTGTCCACTACCTTTATGTTAATGAGGCTAGACTAAATATCAGAGACACGTAATGTGTAATACAATACAAACTGACCATTAAGTTAAACACCTCTTCAAAACTCTTAACATTATAACCCTTATAAAGGTCAGATTAAATGCACATGGTCAGATTTAGAGTGCAATTGTTTTAGCTATGTCTACTTCATAAAATATTAACTTCACTACGTGTCTGTGCAGAGTTTAAGGATGTAAGAGGCCCTCACATTTTAAATACATCACGTATTTCTGGGCCCCTAACATTTCCAAGCTAATAACCAACTTTAATCTCTATATGGCTAAAAATATTAGCAAAAAGTAATCAATATTTTCAAAGCACAAACAAAAATCAATAAGTTACTGAAGATAAGTTGGTCCTGTTTTTTAGGCATGTTGCTGTTGTTATGTTTGATGACTGAAAGTGTGTTGGGTCACACAGTATGCAGGTGGTTGATGCTTGTAAGACTGGGGCTAGGGGAGTTTGGAGTGGGTGAAGGGGGTGGAGGGGGGGGCATACAGCACCTCATCATACCAAGTTTTTAAATGACCTGACTTTCTCTCTGCCTCTTCAGTATGACATACCTGTCCATAGTTGTCTATTCCAGTCACTAATCTATTGAGATTGAGTAAATCAAAAGCGGTCCTCAAGGACTGGCCAATAGTTGTAAGTCCAGTTGCTTGAAGGTTCCTTAACTCTGTCATGAATGTGGCATGGCTCTCTTTCCATCCGGCCTTAAAAGACAAAAACAAAACATTAGGTCAATAACATACATAAAGCTGGACAACTACCCCACTGTTGTGAACACCAGAAAACAACTGCAGAAGTAGTAGTAACTTGTGTTTTTATTACTATTCATTAAATTAAATTAAATTAATAATCATCTATATAGGTCGCCTCCTATTTCCCCAAACCAAAGCTTTGACAGCACCGCAGCTAAGACCTTGATCCGTAGTGCGACCAGCCTGGGACCATTAACTACAACGTGGCAAAGTCGCCGTGTGTGCCGTGAATAAAGTGGCAATTTGGTCTAAACAAGTAAAGTAGGCTAGTCTGTCACCCCCTCCCACCCCCTGCTCCCCCTCCTCCCCCTCTCCGACTCCCCCCATATATCACATCGCTGTATAAATAACACCCAGAGTTCCTTGCTGCTCACACTGAAACAAAATGTCGGCCATGTTTTAAAAGGGGTATGAAAGCTCCTCCTGAAGATTTTCTCTGCACAATTGATGTAGTGATCACAACGTGTAGGAGCGATGGAAGGACAATCATTCTGCCTAATGTAAAGCTGGACATGACCCGAAAATAAACTCTACCTTTATCCCGAACGGAACGTCTTCAAAATTTACCAACATATACCGGTCCCCTCGGCTTGCAGGATCTCTCCCTCTGAGCTGTGGAAATAGTAGAGAATTATTTACGGTTATTGAGAGATCAGTTTTGACAGGCGAGACTGCAACAGTACAGTGATGATCTGAACCGCAATCCCGCTCGGGATCTCCCAAAATTAATGTGTCCCGTGGTTACAGTACCTTCATAAAAGTCTCAACAGCGCCTTTTGCTATGTCCAGATAGGTAGTGCCCAGATGGGTGCGCTGGTTCATTGAAGCGGACGTGTCTATCAGAAAAAGTAAAACGGGCATTGTGATGGTAATGACACGTTCTGCATGGACTTGGTGTCAGTACAACCGGTCAAAACGCAAAAAAATCTTTTGTTCTCCTGCCGCCTGTATCACCTCCCAGCTAACTAGCTAGCTGGCTAACTGTCTGTCTCACACATTCTTTCAAAAAAGTGTAAGAATAGTGAGTATAGAAGCCCTTTCCGGGCAAACTAAACTAAAAACCTCAATCCCTAGGGGCAGGTTATTGATTCACGAGGGATTTTGATAATTTTTACAATATTTTGCAACTATTCCTAAGTTTCATAGTAAGAAAGTTCCCCCTCACATCAAGTCCCTGCTTCTCCCTACACTGAATGCGCTTTGGCTTGTCCACTGGTTTTAACCTAAGCTCCACGCCTGACCCCGCCTACCAAGCGGTCTTTTACCGTCACGTGCACCAAAAACTCGCTCGCGATTGGCTATCTGAAGCCACTCATTACCATATCCAAATAAGGCTAAAGTTGAGTGTCTTCTGCGCATGCTTGTTTGTCTGAAAGGCGGGAATGCGAGAAAAATATTCTGTACATGCTGTTATATATATGAAAATACATCACATTTGGAGAGACATTCTTTTCCGGACCATTACGGTAGTTGTTTGAGCAGATATTATGTAGAAATGGGCCTGTGTCTGTCCTGAAGGCTGATTACATAATCAACATTTACTTCATCCTAAACACGGGCGTGGGCTACTGTCAAAGACAATCGTTGAAGATATAGAGAGAAAACAGAAGGCAAAGATAGTCATTGTCCAATAAAAAGCAGTGAAACATGTACCAAGCTATACACAAACAATTAGCTGGAAGAGTGGCACTTGTTTTTCATGTGCTGACCAAATAAAGACAGCCCTTTCTGCGAAAGGATCTAAAGGAAAACAGGTTTAGCTGAATACTCGCTGCAAGGGAGTAGCTCACACACACTACATCTCTAAGGTCGCTTTACTTTTGTCTTTCTTTTTTACGTGTTCAATAATATTAATCCTTAGGAAGAAATTAAGAAATCAAAACTTTTCTTTTGAAAAGAATTTTAATAAGTGAAGTAGTAGGTATAGTCTACTTCTATAGCCTACGATGAATTTTGGCTTTGCACAAACATGATTTATAGTTATGTGTATGCCTTAAGTAATTTACTATACACATATATTTCTTTTTGTTTCCAACAGGCTTCATATCCTTCTGACTGATTGGGTCCACTCCGGCTACTGCCATATGACACTCAGCCAAACGTGCACGATTGTGCAATACAATTTGCATACTGTAGCCCCGTGGAAGATATCATCACTTCCGCAGAAATGAGAGCAAACCATCCAGTAGCTGGTTATAGATAAGAGGAGGAAGGCCTTTGCCGCTTGTTTGACAGAGCTCTCTGGAGCAAGATAAACACAACAGTTCAGTTTCCGGCGTGTCACTAACAGCTATTTCAGAATAAAATTGTTCATGTGAATGGTGTAATAGAGTTAAGTGGCAAAATTGTGCATCCATTGTATTGACCTTATTGCCAGTGTGCCAGTTGATTATATAATATGTTCTGACAGTTGGTAGTGGAAAGTAATAACAGAAAACAATTTGCCTACATTTTAGAGCTGTAACTACAGATTAGCTTCATCACTAATTAATCTACCAGTTATTGTCAACGAGTCCTTGTTTTGTCCGCAAACAGTGAAATATGCCTGTTATAATTTTCAACACTTCCGTTTAACACCTTCAAATGTTCAAACAAATTTGCAGTTATTTCATAGGCTATGTTTCCAAATTTGTGTTACAAATGTAACAATTTTAAAATAATGTCCTTATTTCTACATTTTGCTGTTGTTGCTTAAAAAATGTGGACCTTAAAAATCCCCAAAGAACACATTCACTCACTACTTTTTGACCTTTGTTCTGAAGTCCAGTCAAAATGTGACCGGAAATAATTGTTCTCTACTTGTTGCCATATAACGTGTTACGTTGTTGTGTTTGCTGATGGTATCTAAACACTTAATCACCTCAATAGGTAACATCCATGAACTTTTTTAACGATAATAGGCCTACTTTGGATAAAATAAAATTGACCAAAACACAACCTAGTCCTTTCCAGGGTGTTCCCCGCTTCTCGCCCAATGTTTGGTTGGGCTGCGTCGTTTTGCCAGAGCCCCCTGCAGTACTGGTGCCGGCTGCTGTGAACACAATCCCGCATAGACATGAATGGGGAGAGCTGCATTTCTTCACACCTTTGAAACAGTCTGAACGTAGGCTTGCTTTCATGTCTACATTAGAAGGTTTTGGCTGTGATTTATGGTTTTATCTCAAATTTAGATTCCTTATTTATTTATTGCTCTTAAGACATAATTAGATGTCCCACTGTCATCATAAATTAACTCCAAATATGTGCTGGTAACATCAGTTGATCCTAATGCTAATACTTTTGTGCTTTTACTGAAGTAACATTTTAAATGCAAGATTTCTACTTGTAGGCTAGCAGAGTGTTTATTTTTTCATTGTACTATTGAAACGTTTAATTTAGCAAAGGATCTGAGTGCTTCTTTCACTACTGTTATCTGTTAGTAATGCCTTCTTTTGAGACTCTATTTGAACCATTAATTATGAAAATTATGAAACTTTGTTGAACTTCAGGGAGCTTTTATTTTGAAAATATAGCAACAAAACTCGGTTAGTCTTATTTTGTTAGGAGGAAGTGCTCTACGTGTGGCTGTAGGCGGGAGTTTGTTGTCAGCTGACTGTCAACACCTCTGGCTTGCCGTCACAACACTGTGTACTACGTGCCTCACGTAGCTGGTAGCTCCTAGCCGAGGCTCCGCTACCCGACCTGGGTAGGTTATGTTTCCCGGCACCAGAATTGAAGACGGAGGTTTGCGTACCCCGACTCTATGGCGACCGAATCGCCCCCGCCCGCAGGCTCGAAAGCCATGTCTTCTGAGCAAACTCGAGGCTTTCCAAGAGATTGTGAGCACCGCGGTCATCATCCCCAAAGAAGACGGCGTTATCACCGTGTCGGAGGACAGGTAATGTGTGTGCTTCACGGTGGCTAGAGCCTACGTCGGTTAACCTTCTGCCTCGTTTAGCCTCTAATCATATATTTCATGTTAGTGTTTAATTGAGCTCATGTCACCGTCTGGGTTAACTGGTCATCCCAAAGCCGTTTGTGTGTCGAAACAGTCCAGTCGTTTATAACATTTCTATAAAAGTGTCAGCTGACAAGTCAGTGGGTTTAACAGGGTCAGGTTTATGATCAGTTTACTAGAGCGAGTTTTTCCACTTTGTCCTGTGGTTTCTATTCTCACTCTCCCAGTTTTTTCACCTGCATGTGTGTGTCTTTGTGTTTACTTGCCAAAACTGTGTACTATCTGCAAGTGCAGTGAGGGTGGGTGGGAGCCTCAGTATGTGTAAAGGTTATTTATGTCTAACCTCAGTTAATGCACCCGTTATATCTACATTTTCCTTTATGGCTTTCTTTTTAATGTTGTGTAACAAAGCTGTGTGATTCATAGCCCTGACCCTGGACTGTCTCCTGGAATATCCTGGGATCCTCATAAAATGTTGAAAATATGAACTAACCATCTCTTTAGTGACCTACAAACTGGGAAAACAGAGGCTACATTATTATTTTAAAACCATTTGTGCTGTAGTAAGATGATTTCATCAACTAAATTTCACTCACAAGCCAATATCTCTCCTACTGGTGTAAGCCTTGTAATGGAGATTGCAAAGGGGACCGTCAGTTATACTGGACCTCGTTCTGCTCCTTTATAGCGTCATTAGAGGAAATATTTGCTCACATGCACATGTAGAACCAAATAAAATGAGGATCCTGCTGGAGTGGTGCTTATTCTTGGGAACGTGTAGACAGTGAGAGGTGTGACATTACATTTCAGTGTGCATGAAACTGTAATTCCTCCACATCAACAGAGAAACTTGTTTGAAAACAGGTTAATTTCCTTCTCCAAATCAGTGACATTTAAACAAAAGCTAGCATTAATACTGGTGTAATTATCATTAAATTACAACTTATAGAGCTATAAGACCTATTTTGGTGACAGTTCATTTTAGTTCCTGCTGTTGTTGTGTGGGGGACAGTGTTGAATGTCACAATTAGGAGTCTGGGGTGAGCCCAGAGAAAGTGACACTGGGTGTGTTTTGCCTTGTTGATATTAATTAAAGCATTTCAAAGTAAAACTAGCCCACTTTTTAAACCAGAGTGACTGGAAAAAGCTACACATTAAGAATTTAGCATTGCACATCAGATACCATGAGTGCTCTCGGTCAAGCAAATGTCATGGTTTAACTCCACAGGATGATTCGGGTATGGCTGAAGAGAGACAGCGGACAGTACTGGCCCAGCGTCTGCCACACAATGTCTTGTAAGTGTTCTTACTCACCTTTTGTGTTTGAGTCATTGGCATTGTTCCCAGAGCAGACATACATGTATGAGTGTGTAACTTTAGGCACCAAAGTTGTCAGATAACATATAGTACTTCTTGGAATAGGCCTGTTGTTCTTCACCTTTCCTCTGTTTTGCTTTCATTCCATACAAATTCCACATCCGAGTCATGTAAAGGCACAGAGTTTATATACTCATGAAATTACTGTCTGAGCTCATGTGGGCATGTTCCCTCTGCTCCTTCAGTACTGCAGCGCTGCATGTCTTTGACACAGTTTGTCTTCGTTTCCCACCAGTTGTGCAACTGAAGGAAATCCTATGCTGCCATCAGCAAGATCTGTAGCTCACAATAACGGCAGCAGAGGATGCATATGTTAAATATTGTAGTTCGCTGATAGAGAAAGTGGAATGAGTGTGCAAAAGATAAATCTTTAGGCAGTCAACTAAAATTAATTTTTGGCTTTTATGAGTCAAAATCTTGACTGACTAATTTAAAATTTGATAAGATATAGGTAGAATGATCGTGATCACGTTCTTCACTAAGTATGGGTTTGTCTTACATAAAGGTATCTGTGCTTCTTTGAGTTGCCTCAGTGGAGGATTTTCATGGTTTTGTGCTTTCTGGAAACTTTTAGACAGTCAAATTGTAGGGACTTTGGGGCTGC